ACTTTGGACCACTGAGCAACAGTCCAGTGCTGCTTCTCTGTAGCCCAGGTCAGGCGCTTCTGCCGCTGTTTCTGGTTCAAAAGTGGCTTGACCTGGGGAATGCGGCACCTTTAGCCCATTTCCTGCACACGCCTGTGCACGGTGGCTCTGGATGTTTCTACTCCAGACTCAGTCCGCAGATCCCCCAAGGTCTGGAATCGGCCCTTCTCCACAATCCTCCTCATTGTCCGGTCACCTCTTCTCATTGTGCAGCGTTTTCTGCCACACTTTTCCCTTCCCACAGACTTCCCACTGAGGTGCCTTGATACAGCACTCTGGAAACAGCGTATTCGTTCAGCAATTTCTTTCTGTGTCTTACCCTCTTGCTTGAGGGTGTCAATGATGGCCATCTGGACAGCAGTCAGGTCGGCAGTCTTACCCATGATTGCGGTTTTGAGTAATGAACAAGGCTGGGCATATTTAAAAGCCTCAGGAATCTTTTGCAGGTGTTTAGAGTTGCGTCATTGGTTCAGATGGTTAGGTTAATAGCTTGTTTAGATAACCTTTTCATGATATGCTAATTTTTTGGGACCGGCATTTTGGGTTTTCATGAGCTGTATGCCATAATCATCAGTATTAAAACAATTAAAGACCTGAAATATTTCAGTTGGTGTGCAATTAATCTGAAATAAATGAAAGTTTCATTTTTATCATTACATTATGGAAAATAATGACCTTTATCACAATATGCTATTTTTTGTGAGAAGGACCTGTATATCTGCAAAAAAATGGGACAATTATCGCAGATACCGATGGAACCCCATAGCCTTACTGATATATCGGTCGGGCTCTACTTTGTATTAAACGTTAATGTGTTCGGAGTGTCGTCATTGTACAGAAGTGCAACCTGCTTGCGTGAGATCAAACTCCAGGTCCGAGAGACATACATGCACATTTCAAACTTCTAGGTGTAGTAAAATGTCAGTCAAAAGATTTTTTTTTTCTGCGTTAATCCATGTAGAAAACAAAACACAAAAATACAACAAAAAAAAAACTAGTTTGTTTTAAATTATTTTATTAATCAAAGCACAACTATTACATTTTATTTTTAGGTGACTGAAAACTCATTTTATAGAACTAAAATGCTAACTTTTTATTAATGTTCTCTAGATCGGCCCTGTGATTGACATGCCAGTTCCTGCCAGCTACAATGACATCACACAAGATGCCACACTGAGAGATTTTATTGGCTGGGTGTGGTATGAGCGAGAGGTGATGATACCTGCCCACTGGATCAAAAATGGAGGCACACGAGTGGTCCTCAGAGTGGGAAGTGCTCATTATTATTCAATAGTGGTGAGTATGACGAGCATCTTCTTGAGCCAGTCCAGATTTCACAACTGTGTAGCATCAAGTCTTTGTGATGCGATGTCTTTCTGTTCACTAGTGGGTGAACGGTGTAAAAGTGACAGAACATGAAGGTGGTCATCTTCCTTTTGAGGCTGAGATCAACAGCGTGCTACAGGAGACCCCCACCATGCCATGCAGGATCACCATTGCTGTCAACAACACTCTGAGTCTACAGACTCTTCCTCCAGGCAGCATCCAGTACATGACTGACCGGACCATGTAATTTTTCACTCAGCTCTCAGTTTCTAAGCTGCTTTGATTTACCCAAAGCTTTTACTTCACTGTATGTTAATTTTAAAAATGACAAAAAAAAAAAAAAATTAATTTATAGTCTTGAACTGACACCTTGAACTTGAATTGCACTTTTTTTTTTTTAAGCTTTTTTGTGTGGTTCTGCTATGTATGAAAGATGCCAAAAGAAAATACCTGTCAAATGTGATTGTATCAAACAGTCACAATCCTCATGTTTTATTTAAAGTAATTGGTTCTGTTATTAATGCACCAAAAATGAACTGTATTGAATCCTCACCTGCTGCATGTGAAAACTTTCTAAATTTCTTTGTTGAGAAAGTCAATTCCACCAGAGCCCAGATCTCACCTTCTGCTCATGACCCCTCAGTCTTTGTGCCCTGCTCGGCTGTTTTTGACAGCTTTGAACCTGTGACTCTGTCGTCTCTGCAGGAGGTGGTCAGTCACTTAAAGCCAACAGGTTCACCAAGTGATGCTATTCCTCCTCGTTTATTCAAAGAGGTTTTCCTCACTGTGGGTCCTTCGGTCCTTGCTCTTTTGAACAGCAGTCTGTCCTCTGGTGTGGTCCCTGGAAATTTTAAACATGCAGCGGTCCAGCCTCTCATTAAGAAACCCACTCACTCTTGACCCCTCTGTTCTTGCTAACTACAGGCCAATCTCCAAACTGCCATTTCTTTCAAAAATTCTTGAGAAGGTGGTGTACGACCAGCTATCAGCATATTTGAAAGAACAGAACATTCTCAAGGTTTTACAGTCTGATTTTAAAGATCTACACAGTACAGAATCTGCTCTTTAAAAGGTTTTCAACTACATATTTTTAGCAACGGACTCTGGTGACTGTTGTCCTCCTGCTTTTAGACTTATCAGCTGCTTTTGACACCGTGGACCATAACATCTTACTTTGTCGTTTGAAGCAATGGGGGGTGTCAGCGGTGCAGCACTGGACTGGTTTAGGTCCTACTTAGCAGAGCATACTTTCTGTGTCCGCCTTGGTGACTATGTGTCCTCCTCTGCTCCTCTTTTGTGTGGGGTTCCACTGGGCTCAGTCTTAGGCCCCCTCCTGTTCACGCTATACCTGCTCCTTCTTGGCTCGATTTTTAGAACATACGGGATCTCCTTTCATTGTTACGCAGATGATAGGCAGATATATGTCCCACTAAAGAAAAAGGACTCTAACTCTCTGGCACCTCTGTTTTCATGTCTGGAGGACATCAAAGCCTGGATGGCTGGAAAAGACTGAGGTGATGATCTTTGGAAGCTCCACTGAGACTCCCAATGTCAATGTTGGTTCTTTGACTCAGTATATCAGGCCAATTATTACAAACCTGGGGCTCAAAGTCGATGCTGGACTAAAATTAGAAAAACATCAGAGCAGTTGTTAAAACTAGTTTTTTCCATCTGAGGCAGCTGGCTATGGTGAAGCCGATTCTTTCTAAGCAGCATTTTGAAACAGTAGTTCATGCCTTTGTGACGACTCAGCTGGACTACTGTAATGCACTCTATACAGGAGTCAGTGATTCATGTATCTCTCAGCTTCAGAGGGTACAGAATGCTGCTGCACGGCTTTTAACTGGCACACAAAAGTTTGAACACATTTCTCCTGTTTTAGCCTCCCTGCACTGGCTGCCCATACATTCCAGGATTCATTTTAAAATTATTTTATTTGCTTTTAAAGCTCTTAATGGACTTGCCCCGCCCTATCTGTCCGAGTTACTGCATCTATACACACCCTCTTGATCCCTCAGGCCATGTGACCAGCTGCTCCTGAGTGTGCCAAATACAAAGCGTAAGCTCAGAGGAGACCGTGCTTTTGCTGTGGCAGCTCCTAAACTGTGGAACGACCTTCCCTTGAACATCAGACAGGTCTCTTCCCTGTCTGTTTTTAAATCCCTTCTTAAAACCCATCTCTTCTCTGTGGCCTTTGACACCATCTGAGATTTTGACTTTTAATCATTTTAATCGCTTGTATTATCAGATTTTATGATTGTATTTTACACAACTTTTATTATCTGACTTGTAATCATTTTAATCATTTTTATTATCTGACTGTATGATTGTTTTGTTGTGTGTACAGCACTTTGGTCCTGTAGGTGTTTAAAGTGCTCTTTAAATAAAGCGGATATGGTATGTATGACTTGAATCCCTGCCAGCAGTGACACAGTTTTTCAGCTTGTATCAGCACTTATAGTTCCTCTTAAAATATTTTCCACTCACTGCCTCTCTCCTTCTGTTGACTCTTCGTTTTCTGTGAGCTGTATTTACTTTTGTCTGAACATTCATAGATGAATTTGTTTGGATGTGTTGTGTAATGACAATACATGATTTGGTCTACAGGTATCCTGAAGGTTTTTTTGTGCAAAACACCAACTTTGATTTCTTCAACTATGCTGGAATACACCGTCCTGTTCTCCTGTATACCACTCCTAAGGCCTATGTGGACGACATCACCGTGGTTACAGACTTCTTCGATAAGACAGGTAAAACTGATGGACCATGCTGTAACCACAGAGCTTCACCACCATAATAATTTATTTTTTATCACACTATTTCCTGTAATTTAATCCATGATGTGGCTGAAACACAAACCAAAGCAATTTTTTGATCCCCATTATTGTCCAAGCAGTTGTAAAGATTTAAACTGTATTGAACATTCTCTTAATACTGTCCCCTTTATTGAAACAGTTTCTTTTGTATTTTAGGATTTGTCAGATACAATGTATCAGTCAAGGGGGCAACCATGGCTTCTGTGACGGTCACTTTGATAGACAAGAAGGGCCACTGTGTAGTTTCCTCCAATACATCATTTGGAGTGCTTAAAGTGGCAGATGTTAAGCTGTGGTGGCCATACTTGATGCACGAGATTCCAGGTTTTCTGTACACGATGGAGGTAAGACACCATGCTTGCATTCTTTTTGCATGGAACAGACACACTTAACCAAGATTAAAATTGTAAACTGGTAGAAAAGGTGTAATTGGAATATTTATAGTTTAGGATTATTCATCCAACAGCATCTAAGACTTGCAAAAGACAGTATGCTTTGCACTGAATCTCGTCTTAGAGGTTATTTTCAGGTATGCTGTAATGCAAGAATGTAAAGCATGCTCAACGCAACGGTGCTTTCTCTTCTCAGCCAAAGCCCAAAGACTTTGCTCATGCACACAAAGATACAACCTGCTGTAGTTGCACAGACATCTTTTCAAGCTCTAATTAAGGCAACAAGTGGATAAAGCAGACAGTCAAACCCAAAACATACACATTTAAAGTGACCTCTTAACAATTATGCAGGAAGTGTATGTGTGTGTGTGGCAACAAGCTGTTCCTATTGAACTGGTTACAACTCTGGGAGCCAAAAGTAAAATGGTTCACTCACCATTGATGTTCATTTGAAAACCTCTTTGTCCGTCTGGATGATTTATTTTAATAAACTGTCCTTATTTTGCCAGAGGCTTTCATGGTAACTGTCCTCAGATGACCTGTGCTGTAACATTTTTGCAGCTTTTGTTAAACAGCCGATCGGTTCTTAGCCTTTCCAGGTTCTTTCGATGTCACTAATGAAACAGCTGTTGTATGTTGGGCAGCCTTTTTTAACAAGTTGATTTGTTTATTTAGCAATTGCCTTTTCAAGATGACCTCTTATAATTGTTTAATAATGTCAATGCACATAAAAACAACAAAGCTGACCAAAGTTCTTTATAATTGAGTCAGATTAAAAAGAGTAAAAAAATACATCTTGTGCCACTCAAAAAAACACAAGAGAGTTAACGATAAAATACAACAATAAAAATCAGCTTTAGCTTGTTCTCAGACTGCATGAATCAAACGCCAAGGAAAAATGATTATTGAGCAAACATTAACAAGTCTCAACAGTCTCTGTGGTCTTTAAATTGTCAGGTAAACTGTTCCACAGTTTTGGAGCAGCATCTGCAAAAGTCCGATCACCTCTGGACTTCAGTTTGGAAATGGGGACTTCTAAGAGGAACTGTTTGGTAGGCCAGAGTGCTCTTACTGGAGTGTAGATGTTAAGAAGATTGCATAAATATGACAGGGCCAGACCTTTTAAGACTTTATAAACTAGCAATAAAATCTTAAAATAAACCTGGAAGTGGACAGGAAGTCAGTGTAGAGAAGCTAGGACAGGGGTTATGTGTTCATGTTTTTTAGTTTCTGTTAAAAAGACGAGCTGATGCGTTCTGGAAAGATTGTAAGGGTGCATTCACACCAGCCCTGTTTAGTCCGCTTTAATCGAACTCTAGCTCGTTTTCCTAGAAAGTCTGGTTCGTTTAGGGAAGTGTGAACGCGCCATCGAACTCTGTCACGGAACAAAAAGGTGAACTCTGGCCCGGGGTAAAACCTAGGTCTCAGTCCGGTAGAAGAGAACTCCAGCGCAGTTCGAGTGCAGTGTGAATGTAAACAGACCGGCCCGCTCCACAGGATAAACAAACACGCATTGCTCTTACCTTATATGGGGCAGTCAGCTGCCTTGTGTGGAAAAACAATATTCTCCATGGTCTTCTGTCTCATCTTCTGCTCATGCTAAGTCCATTTTTGAAAAATGACAAAATATAACTCCTAAAACTGCTAAAACTTGATGCCACTTCGTTTTTATTTTTATTTACAGAAGAAGACGAAGACGTGTCTTCAGAGGTTTTTGTGTCGTTTCTTTCAGTAGTTCTTGGTGCAGCGCCCCCACAGGCGAGTGGGGGAATAAGTTGGTTCAACAGGTTGACTCGACTGCACAGTGCAGTGTGAATGCAAACGCACCAGCTCAAATGTAACAAAAGGTCATGAATATTGGTCCCCAACCGAACAGAGTCTACCGGACTGTCAGGTGTGAAAACGACCTAAGAGATGCAGAGATGCTTTATCTAAATCAGCCTACAAAGCATTACAATAGTCCAAATGAGAGGTAATAAAAGCATGAATCACCTTTTCATGGTCACTGAAAGGGAGACGAGAAATAATATCGAATCCACTTCTTGCCGTTTTCAGTATGGCTGAAAACCAGTATGGCTGAAAACTGTGGATTAGCGTTAGCACACTTTGTAAATCAGCAAGCAGCTATTCTTGTTTAACTGGACAGCCTGTGGGAAAGTATAAAGAAAATGCCCATTGTCACATCCAATTTGTTGATCAAACCATCTATACAAACTTAAACTCATTTGTTTTAATATTCTGGGGCTTCTGAACACACTGGCTGATAAAAGGATCTATCTTGAGACCCAAACAAAAATTTTCTATAAGACAGATTTACTAGCAGTGCTAGAACAGAAAATGAAAATAAACTTGTCACATTGTTATTGACAAGCAAGTCATTGACTTTCATTTTAGTAACAATTATTGAAATAAAGCTTATTTTAATCAGAGCCATTTCTGAAGATCTTGAAGGCCCTGACAGTTTGTCATTAGGCTCTGTTGTAACTGACATTTCCTTCTGTATGAACGACTTCTTGGCCTTCTGTGTTTTTTTTTTTTTAGACAGCATTTCCACAAACATAACTCACATTTTTAACTATAACTTGATGAAATTCAATTACTGCTTTAAAGTTGAGGTCAAAGTTTATTTATACATTTGGTATATTAATATATTACATGCACAACATACTGTTTGATTGTATTTTCAGGAAATGATGGCTGTTTCTGGTTCTGACATTTGCATTCTAACGTCTAGGTTCGTCTCATGGCTGAATCATCATCTGAAGATGTTTATACTCTACCAGTTGGCATCCGCACGGTTAAAGTGACCAGCACCCAGTTTCTCATCAACAACAAGCCTTTTTATTTCCATGGGGTCAACAAGCATGAAGACTCTGATGTGAGTATCACCAAAGAAAAGCAAAGCCTTTGCAAAGGTATCGGTTTTATCATTTATGCAGAAGACATGATAATTTATAATGAATGGTTCAATGACCTAATCCGTTTGTCTTCTTTCATCGTGTTGTAGATTCGTGGTAAAGGTTTAGACTGGCCTCTAATTGTGAAGGACTTTAACCTATTGAAGTGGCTGGGGGCCAACTCATTCCGCACAAGCCACTATCCCTATGCTGAGGAGATCCTGCAGATGTGTGATCGTCACGGCATTGTAGTGATAGATGAATGTCCAGGAGTGGGTATCAAAGACATGTAAGTGTTATCAGTGCTGCTTCTGAAAACCTGACAGTTTATTGTTGTCTGGTACTGGTAGAGTCCACATGTACAGCTAAAGTAGCAGGCCTGATAAATTCGCTGAAGTTTAAATATAATCATGGTGAAAAACAAGGTAGGATGTGAAAACGTTTAATACCTTTCTAACTTCATTTTTGACAACAAAAGCTTAAGCAGTGCAAAATTTGTGCAATTTGTCTTTTCCTTTCAAACATTAGAATGCTAGCATTTTGGCATATTATGGCAGTGAGGTTTTCACTTTAGTTAAGCCCACAGAGATGCAAACATGACTGTGTTTAGGTTTGGACACATAACCTTGAAAGGCCAAGTAAACAACTTTCGAGGCCATGTGCACAAAAACGTTTACAGTTCTAGGAAAAATACTGACAGGCTGCTGAAAACTGGTGGAAAGCAAAATAATGAAATGTGTTTGTTGAAAAGTTAAAATAATCTATTTACTTATTTGTATTTATTTTTGTTTTCAAAAAATTAATACAACTTGTCTTCATTGCATTTAGCTGCTATTTAGGGGCTACTTTATCAAAACAGTCTACTTAATTAGATTTTTCAAAAGAGGTGGTCACTGATTGTTATTCATGGTGGAGTTAGGTTCAAAGGAATTGCCAGTGAAACCATTTCTTTGCACAAAGTGCGAATAGTTTCTTCGGAAATCCCAAAATGATCATTCAACTCTTATGAAGCAGGGTTTTGTGAAAAGTTAATGAGCAAATATTATTTTACCGTTTGATTAACTAGTTTTACTCTACATGGACAAACTAAAGTTTGCAGGAGCAATACTCCAAACAACTCCAGTTTAAAACATTTCTAACACATTTTTAAAACATTGTTGGTGACTTTCAAATAGTATTTTGGTTGAAATGCCATCATTTGTATTTTATCATTCGGTCTGTTCCATGCAAGATGTACATTTTGTGCTTTTCTATTTTAGTCGCAGTTTTGGGAATGCATCTTTGGCCCATCATCTAGTTGTCATGGATGAGCTTGTACACCGGGACAAGAATCATCCCTCTGTGGTGATGTGGTCTGTAGCCAATGAGCCCGCTGCAGAGATGCCCCCTGCTGAACTTTATTTTAAGTGAGTACTAATGAGTTTTGTTCTCACCTGAAGATCTGACGCTCTGAATAAATACCTGTATCAAATATTATTACACAAATAACTAGAGATTTCCTAAATGGGATAAAATTTAAAAGAACTGTTGGAGAAATTTCCCTGTTCAGAAACTCCACTACAGATGCAGCTTTCAGAAACTATGGCCAAAAAGGATCCATTGGTGGACACCAGCTGTGAGAGAAGCCTTTTGAGCTTTGTTGTCCCAGAGGACTCTTAAAGCCCCCGGTGTACTGCCGCGTACGTCTGTTCACGCGTACGTACGCGTATACTATACGCAGATGGTTCAGACTTCAGACTCCAGCGTACACCCTGAGCAGCTGCAGAGCAGCTTCACAGACAAGGGGCGTTTACCTTCAGGACAAATTGAGGTCGCCGACTGGTCATTTGCTGACACGCCTATATGATTGATTGACAGGTCGGGGGGGGGGGGGGGGAACCGAGCACTGGCAGCCACAGCGGGGTTCTGTGTTTATATGCTGTTAATAAAAAGATCTAAAAAAAAAAAAAAAAGGGAGCGCTAGCTCTGCAGCCCACACATCAGACCAGCCCACCAGGAAATCTCCAGACCCTCCCGCAGCCATGCTGGACCTGAGTTTAATTCGCTCGTGACAAATTCCTTCATTTCTCACCATTTCAGTCATTGCATCAACAGAGGAGGAAGAGATCTCTTGCCTCTTGGCAAAAAAACAAAAGAAAAGGCCAGATCAGGGCTGAAAAAGGGGAATTTAATATATTGGTGTCACATACAAAACAGTCCGTCGCCGGGCAGTTTATTGTGCGACACTGCGTACGCGTATGCGGTCGTAAAAAATTGAGCTTTGCACGGACATGCCCTGGGGGGTACACTCGTACCTCTGCGTACCTCTGCGTATGAACGTATGCGGGAGTATACTGGGGGCTTAACGCAGCTGGTAGGTATAGAATGACCAAAAAGGCTGTGGCTGTGACTGTGGTAGAAGCTTTAACTTCAACAGAAGGAATTCACAAAGACCACAGAGAAAGGACTTTTTCCATAAGTGCCGGTTGATATAGGAATGATTATTTTGATGCTTTTATGTCAGTTAATACTTATACTCACTTTTGATGCAGCTTATCTGCCCAAAGTCAGGCCTGTGCTGCAGATGTGTTTTGGAGTAATTAAAGTCCTCTGGGGATGCTCTAACCAGAAGACCTGGCCCATCTTAAGGTTATGGTGACCCAGAGTTTGAAAGACATGTTTTTATGAAGCCATCGCTCTGTTGCACAGACTGCTTTGATGATGGAAAAACATGTTTTAATTAAATCTGTCCTCCTGACAACCATCAAACTTGTTTTTCACTGCTCTCACGCGATCCGGTCAGGGAGAGGTATAAAGGAGGTGTGACAGGCAAGGGAATTTTTGGAAGTCTGCTGTGGACTAACGCGTGAGTGCCCGGCGCAATTTTGATGTGATTCCTCTTTACCCGGGTCGAAAACGACTTCCCGGCCAGTGTCACGGTGAGAGGCTCTTTCATATCAATTTGTGTGTGTAAAGAGTGTACAAGTGTACATGTTTGCTTGGCTGTTTTTTCTGTGGCAGATTAATAAATGACACTATTATTTCTAGCAAAAAAACAGTCTCTTTTGATTTATTTCCTTTCGTGTGAATCATTGGGTGCCGATCGTTCACGACCCCTGTTAATTTCATAATACACCGGTCTATAGAGCGCACCCGAATATATGCCACACATACATATACAGGTCCTTCTCAAAAAATTGGCATATTGTGATAAAGGTCATTATTTTCCATAATGTAATGATAAAAATGAAACTTTCATATATTTCAGATTCATTGCACACCAACTGAAATATTTCAGGTCTTTAATTGTTTTAATACTGATGATTATGGCATACAGCTCATGAAAACCCAAAATGCCTGTCCCAAAAAAATAGCATATCATGAAAAGGTTCACTAAACAAGCTATTAACCTAACCATCTGAATCAACGACGTAACTCTAAACACAAAAAGTTGGGACAAGTCCATTTTTACCACTGTGTGGCATCCCTCCTTCTTACAACACTCAACAGACGTCTGGGGACAGAGGAGACCAGTTTCTCAAGTTTAGAAATAGGAATGCTCTCCCATTCATGTCTAAGACAGGCCTCTAACTGTTCAATCGTCTTGGGCCTTCTTTTTTTGCACCTTCCTCTTTATGATGCGCCAAATGTTCTCTATAGGTGAAAGATCTGGACTGTAGGCTGGCCATTTCAGTACCCGGATCCTTCTCCTACGTAGCCATGATGTTGTGATTGCTGCAGAATGTGGTCTGGCATTATCGTGTTGAAAAATGCAGGGTCTTCCCTGAAAGAGATGACGTCTAGATGGGAGCATATGTTGTTCTAGAACCTGAACATAGTTCTCTGCATTAATGGTGCCTTTCCAAACATGCAAGCTGCCCATGCCACAAGCGCTCATGCAACCCCATATCATCAGTGATGCAGGCTTCTGAACAGAGCGTTGATAACAACTTGGGCTATCCTTGTCCTCTCTGGTCCAGATGACATGGCGTCCCAGTGTTC